TTTTTGTATGCGTAAGAAAATAAAATTTGTCAAAGCATAGATCAATTTTATTTCTTTTTTTTTTTGTCGTTTTCCCACAAAAAAATGTTTTTTTTTTCTAATCATTTTTTTGTTTTTCTTTTTTTTTTTCTGTTTTTGTTTGGTTTTTTCTTTCCAGTATCACAGATCGACAAAAGTAATTTTGTTGTCCTCACGAAGAATTAATTTTTGTTAATGTTCTATTCGTCAAATTTGTCATTTATTTTTTTCTTTTTATTTTATCAAACATTGTTACAAAGAGAAAATCATTCGAATAAAATCCAATTGAAATCGTCTAGGCGCGAGTGAGCCCTCCTCCCATTTGTCCGTGTAATATTTTCATTTTTTCAAACGTATACGTACATACATACATACATATACATATACGTACATATGTATATATGTATATGTATATATTTAATACGTTTAAATAAGTACGCGAATCTCCCTCACTTTTTAAATTTAATTTTTGTTTTGTTTACTATATATATATATATACTTGCTCCATGTTATGTAATATGTAATAATGTATGAGTGTGTTAGTAAGGTGTCTGAAGGATTGGTGGTGGTGTGTATCTATTTACAGCGAAGCGATTACAAAAATTGTCGCGAAGAGGAACGAGAGATTCATTACTGTCTATATATGTATACATATATGTATATATATTTATTATATATATGTATTATTATACATATATGTATACTATTATATATATATATATATATATACATATATGTGTACACATATATATATATATATATCTATTTGATCGTCGTGAAATATATTTCATTCACGAAGTATATATATACTTACATATATATGTAATTAGAGGTGGACACATGTATACGTATGTACATAATAAACGCGTTATATTCGCGTATTACAAAACGAGAGGTGTAAAAAAAAAAAAAAAACCACGGGCACTGTATCAAACCCTTAATAATAATTTTAATAATAGTATTATAATAAAAAAAAAAGTAAGAAAAAGAAAGAAACGTTTGCGATTGAATTTACGAACATTGAAACAAAAAAAAAAAAAAAAGAAGAGAAAAGAAACAGAGTTAAAAAAAAAAAAAGGGTTTCTTTATCTCTCTCTTTCTCTCCCTTCGTCCAACCCGTTTCTCTCCTTATTGCGCGCGCGTGCGTGGTATATCGGAGTATTTAATCGTTCGACAAAGGAGTATCTTCAATTAAAGGAAGAAACTCTCAATAAATCGATAATTTCCGAGTATCAGTAGCAAGCTAATAACGATACTACGAATGCTGATGTTAGTTGTGTTGCTGTTGCCACTTCCTCTCGTTCCTGTGTAGTTGTTAATGTTGTTGTTGTTGTTGTTAGTCGCTAAACCAATGCGACCACCCCCCTCATCTCGTGTCATCGTCAGCACGCTCTGATGATATTCGTAATCTCGGCTCGATGTAGACTCCTCTTCAAACGAACGGGTCTATCAGACCAAAGGTGTTCCATATACTTCGTTCGTGTGAAGATTTTGATTGCTATCGTTCTGGCATGATACGCATTGCTGAAACAGGGCAAGAAAACCGACCGATTCCTCAAGAAATTGTTTCTTTCATTGTTTTTTTTTTTTACGTAAACACACTTTAAGACGAATCTTTTAATTTTTTTTTTTAATATTTTTGTAAAAGGGATTACGTGCATACGGTGGATGAATATCGTTTTGTATTAATTTTTTTTTTATTAAATATATTTTATATTAATTTTTTTTTAATCCTTTGACTACTACGTACACATAAACACGTATTTTGTAATATTAGTATAAAATAATATAATGTTGGTTTGAGTATTGTATGAAAATTAAATACAAAAACAATAATTATAATTACATGAATCTGATTATTAATATCAATCAACGGAAACATAGTTGTACTTTAATAATAAATTATTCTATCCCTACAAATCATTTCAGGTAAAGGTATGAAGTACTCAAAGGGTATTTAATAAAGAAATAATAAAAATAAATCAGATAATAACTCACCGCTTGTCTTCGTTCCCAACTCTTCATAGCTGTCTTGTATTTTTCGAACTCGTGACACCAATTAGAATAAATCTTTTGATAATCGTTAGATTTGGCAGGTGCTGAACATCTGTGAGCGTCTACGGTAATATTGTATGAGCAAAGTAATGCACCACCAAGCCAACAATCGTATCTACCAGCATCCTGTTCATTTACACCAACGATAACCAAACCTTTCTCTGAAGTTTCAATAAATTTGTCACCACCTACACCATACTTGTAAGCTATCTGATAACGGCCCTTTTCTTTACTATAATGGTACCATCTTACTTCTTGATTTGCTAAAACTTCTGGCATTTTAACGAAACAACCGAGATGAACCGATTGACCCCACGTAACTACGAGCTTTCGTTTACCAACGCTGCTATCGCATACGTCAGCTGTGGTGTTTGATACGTCTTGAAGTAATCTGAGAAAACAAAATGCAGAGAAAAAAAACATACTAAATAATTTTGTTGATAATTATCAAAAAGATTTTTGTATTTTTTTTTAGTAAATTCAACTTCGTAACTTTGCAAAGAACAAAACTTGAACAATACTAGAAATATTCTACGTCAAATGTTAGTTAAATTAACATATCCGATTGATATATTAATAAGATTATTTAACTAATAATATTATTTCATTAAAAATGCATAGAATAAATATTAGAAAATTCTTAATACTTAGTACAATAATTCAATGTATTGTAAACATACCCTGGTTCGTAGGGCTTGCAAGTATTGCTGTCCTTGTCCCAACCGCAATAGGGATCGTGAACGCAACGCAAGCAGTTGTCGTATCGTCGTGTACACATTACAAGATCAATCTGCTTTATTCGATGATCCGATGCGACGTAAAGTGCTTTATGTTCTTTAGAAATTTCCATAGCCTGAATCGGTTCTCCTGGGGTAACATCAAACACATCCAAGAGAATCGATTGTGACTCACCATTACTGTCGATCCATTGAACTACCTTATGAACACGACCATCACCTGTAACAAACGTGTCACAAAATTCATTTTTTCAATTTTATTTTAATATTTAAACACGTTAAGCACCACGTCAGTCATCGGTAACTGACACTTTCATTATTTTTTCAATACGAAGTAACTGTTGTGGTCTGACGGGAATTTTCCTAAGAATTCACGTGGCTCTCAACGTGTTAAAGAAGTTTAGATTAATTCGAGAACATTTAATAATTATTTAATAATTGATCGTTACTTTGTAAATCATTTTTTTTTTTTTTATTTTGTGTTATATTTTTACACGTGAAACGCGAAATAATTTTATATTTTATATTTTATTAATATTTATTAATTTAATTCTACGTATCCTGAGCTGTGTATTCTTAGGATATGTGTACATTGAATTGATTTTCTCTTTTAATTTTAGTTTATATTTAAAATAAGCTAAGTCCTAAATGTGATTTCTTTTTAATTAATTAAGTGGCCGATATAATTTCTGTGTCGATAGATACGTAAGTAACTGAAAAAAGATTTTCAGTTGAATTGAATTATAATAAAGTGATAAGAGTTATTGGAAAATTACAAGTGAACGGATTATAAATGGTTCTTCTTTGAATTTAATAATTTATTAATAAAACAGTTCGCGCGCGCGATATTTTGTGTCAATCTATATTTAAACGTTAGAACGATCAATAATTAAGATAAAATAACACACGATTAAGATAAAAGTGTTAAGAGGAGAAAAAGGGAGAATTAAAAAAATATAAAATACGAGCTTTTTATACTTCGGTTTAACTCTTCTCTCGATAAATATAAATATAAATATAAAAAAAAAAAAAATATATAAAATAGTCATAAATTAAATCGCGTTAAAGTTAATTATTTTCATACGACCGTATCTCCGACATAAATGAGATACGTTTATCGTACAATCGTTAATACCACAAATACACGCAACTAAACGAGACGCGTCAAAGCTTCGTGGATTTATTCTTTTTTTTTTTTTTTTTTTTTTCTTATTAATGAACAATATTTCTACGAGATTTAAAAAATAAATTGATAAGAATTAAAAGGCGAATTTATCAACGATAAAACACACTCTCTCGAATTATTTTAAATCGTTGTAATAAATTGACAATCTTATTATAAACAAAACAAAAAAATAAAATTCCATTTACAAATTCCATAAACAAAAAGACACTCTCGAATTATTTGAAATAAATTGAAAATCTTATCGTAAAGAAAAAATAAAATTCCATTTACAAATTCCATAAACAAAAAGACACTCTCGAATTATTTGAAATAAATTGAAAATCTTATCGTAAAGAAAAAAAANAAAAAAAAAAAATAATGTTACAACAAAAAATATGACATTTTATATTTGTAACGATAACGACGTTTCTAACCTATGAGCGTAAATAATTTGATAAGAAAAAGTTCGTTCCTCTTATTTCTCCTTCATTGCTTATCGATTAACTTTATTCCGTGTATTGCTTTGAGATAAAACGAGAATCCTCCTCTTACGCTTCATCGGAATATCGATGAAACGAGGAAGAAAGAAAAGAAGAAAAAAAAAACAGAGGAAGGGGTAGTACAAAGATAAAAAAAAAAAAAAAAACACCAAAGGTATAGTAGTATCTTGTGCTATATAAGATGAGGAAAAAAGGGAGAAAAGAAAGAATGAAAGAAGACAAAAAAAGACAAAGAAAAGAAAAGAAAAATCAAAAAAAGGACTCACTGGATCCAGCGTAGTAGACCGTGTAATCCAAATCAATGCCGACAAAGTCAATACGAAGTTTATCGACGACTAGTCTCGTAAGCATGACGTCACGCTTGTAAAATACCGGTTTTTCGTTTTCATGGGAAATAGCGGAATCCATCAATGGATGAGATCTTATAAAATTGAGTACAGTATCTGGTAGAGATTCTGTATCGTTCACACACTGTCCTGGACGTGGTTCTGGTACTTTATTTGATAATACTGGCAACCATGCACTGCTACTAGTAGCTTGTTCTTTAAATTTCCCACGAAAAGCTTCCTGTATTGAATCGATGTGAAAGGAACAGATTGCTGAACCCATCAGACCGTTTGTCGAGGTCGTAAACGTTCCATAAAAATGCGTATCGTCTCCTGGCACTTTGTAAATGCTCTCTGAAATCATAGAATCAAAAAACACCATTGTTTTTTTTTTCTTTTGCAATATCATTTTATTTATTTAAATATCAAATGGATGGGTCGAATTATTATTTTTTTTTTTAAATATGTAATTTAATATTCGCAAATTTGATTTGATTTATTTAAATACGAAATATCGAATTTTAATAAATTTCTAATAAAAAATATAATAATAATAATAATAATAATAATAATAATAAAGTGTGTCGTTTATTTAAATATGCGACCTAATATTTTAGTATTATTTTTATATGTGTATGAATATGTGTACATATTATAAATGAAATAATTTGATTACTTACGAATCTCGTTAAAGTAGAATGGAAATTCTCCTGGTATTGAACAATTCAATCTGGCTTTTAAATAAGTCACCCAATTCTGTGACAATATCTTTTTTCCACCGGTATCCCTTTTACAAACTCTTGCCACGCGTGAATACACGCTTTTACCACAATTTATGTACTCGACTGCAGTCTCACGGAAAAAGAAGAACACGTAACTACCAATGTCGTATGATCCAACGAAGTTTGGTTCTGAAAAATAAAAATTGAAAGAAACATTGTATTAATAAAAAAAGAAGTTGTCGAGAAAAAAGAAATAAAAAAAAAATGTAAAACACAAACAAAATGAAGTAATTAGTACGAGTATACGTTGATAAATCAGAAACAACATTGGGTAAAAAAAAGAAAAAGAAATAAAAAACAAGGAAGTATTCTTAACGAAACGATAAAGATAATTTTAAACGTTGCCATTGTGTTCATTGCCTCAACTCGTAAACTCGTTCGTAAGGAAAGAAAAAAAAGAAAAAAAAAAACAAGAAAGTAAAGGAAAATGGTATAAAATTCTAGCTCAACATAGACTCCTCGTACCTTTGGGGTACTTGGAGTAAATTCGAGAAAAGGGTCGATAGGAGAGTGTGAAAATTGTAAAATTGACGTTCGAAGAAGATTCTACAAAGTAGCAGCGAGTTTAACTTAACGGAGAGAGAGAGAAGGAGAGAGTAAGAGTACTTTTCTTTTCTCAACGATGAGAAAGAAAAACAAAAAAAAGGATGGAATGAGAGGAAGAAAGAGAAAGAACAAAGCTAAGGACTTTCGTAGTTTTCATTTAACACTGGCCGAAGCAGCAGCCCCGGGCAAGTACGCGGCTTAACGCAACTTTAATGAGCATCCACTTGTCGTTTTACGATTTTACAGTCGTAAAACCGTTTAACGGTTCACTCGTTACGAGCATCGGAGTGCTAATAATTTTCTTGAATTCAGACATTTTTCCTTCCCAAAACAGAAAAATATATCGAAAATCCAACCAATGAGAGGTAACCCCCATACATAATAAGCAACGCACGTAAAGTCAAATTTATTCTACAGAAAGAACAGAAAAATATTAAACTCAATTCGAATTCAGTTCGAAAGGATAATCTTTCTCATGTTCTCTACAAATCCGTTTCTCGACGAATTATTTTCGTTTAAATTATATCATTTACCTTTTCTGCGATCATTTGGAAATGAAGACTGAAAATGAAATTTCTAATTTGTTGTATTACGGCAACCGATGTGGAAAAGGGTTGGGTAGAAAAGAGAAATAATACGGAATGAAGAAAAAAAAAAGAATAAAACTTGTAAACTTTATGAAACTGGTCCCTCAGGTGATTTCATTATTCCTTCTCTCTCTCTTTACGTATGAAATCAAGAGTAACATTTTCCCGCGAGAAAATAGTCCGTTTCTCCTTCTTTGGCAAATGTATTTTCCATTTTCAGTAGAACAAGTACGAAACTAGTCAGACATCGTGCCTCATCTCGATAAAAATTGAACACTATAGTTTCCCTTTCTTTTTTTTTTTTTTCCAGTGATTTTCAATAGTTTTCTTTTATACACACTCTTACTTTCTCTCTTTTATTTTTTATTTCTCCAAAACCTTTCGTTTATTCTCGATACGTCAAAGTTCCGGTATCTAAAGCGTGTCAGACAATCGATTTAATCGTTGAACTGTGAGAGAGAGATTCATATTTCATAGTACACTTCGTTGTTGTTTTGTTCCCCGTCGCATAATGTTAAAAACCAACGCAAAATGAACGAAAGAATGATAGAAAATGAAAGAGAAAGAAAAAAAGGTTTGTACTAGGACACAAGAGCGATTTAAAACGTGGAAAACATCTCCCAACCAACCAACCAACCAACCACCCCCGTCATTTTCCATCGCCTACGAAAGCACACGCGTTTATTTTGCATAAAAGCAGGCGTTTGTGTCTACGATAAACAAACGCGAAGGGGTATACTATGTACTCAAAGAGAATAATTAATTCACCCACCGGAAGAGAAAGAGAGTAACCTTTTTTTCTTTTTTTTTTATCGGAGATGATTATTGTTCTTTTACGCGTCTAAAACAAATTTTACATTTGTGTGTACAAATGCTTAACTTTTTAATTATTATTATGTCATTAATTAATAACATTCCTTATTTCATAATGATCATAATACGTATTTATGTATGCGTGTGTATGTGTTGGATAAACAATTTAAAGTGAAGAAATGTTCGTTACTTTTATAAACACATTTCTTTAATCGACACTAAAAAAAAGGCACCTAGCCAGCCATTCTTGTGCTCAAATAATTTGCATAATTTCGATCATAAAAAAAGGATATAGAATACATAACTATAGTTAGATAGTAGTAGTATACTAGTCAAAGTGCATCGACCTTAAATCTTAACGAGCACGATGAAATAGGTTTAACTAAACTAGTTTGAAAGTGTAAGAGAAAGAGAAAGATAAAAATAGGAAGAGAGAAAGAGAGAGAAGCGAACGTACGAGTATAATATTCAAGAAGGAGGAAGTAGTCACGCGACATCGTTGAAAGCTCGTTTCGCATGCGCAAGGACGCGTGAAAGTGGACGCTCGTCGGTCAGTTATTCAGGGGCTTGTTAAGGACTCTCGTGACGTTCACTTCCTTTATCGTATCCCTTAAGTCCTTCTTCTCTCTCTCTCTCTCTCTCTCTTTCTGTCTCTCTCTCTTGCTCTCACACCATAGATCGTATATCCATTTCAACTTCAGTATCGTTTGCCGACTAATTCTAAACAACTTTTCGAAAAGCGAAGACAATGGGTTGTACACAAAATCATTGCGAATTTCTCATAGTGACGTGTGTTTCGTTTCTACTCGAATTACTAACGAGTTAATTAATAACAAAATGATTCATTGGTATATAAACTTTAGAAATGGTGAAACTTATAATACAAGCAATTCCCAAAATGTTAGAATATTAGTTAATTGAATATTACGAATGATTTGAAATGAAATAGAATTTGATATATACGTTTATTATGAGTTTTTAACTAAAAGACAACGTGTAAGTTTTAATTGGATACATTGTGAATGATTTACATACGATAAACAATCAGCTCGTTCTATTGTAACGTATGATAATATACAACAATTAATTTACTGATAGTAAACCAATTGGACATAGTAAATGATCAATCGATCGGAGAGTAAATATCTCGAATGCACTGTTCCTCATTAGACACAAGATGGGCGTATACAGAGATACTACCTATTCCTAGATTGTTAATACGTACATCTTTGATTATACAATACATCTTACGTAATTGTTAATAACAAATTGTTTAATTCATAAATTTCTATTATATATATTCGTATATGTATAATATTATACATATACGTATGGATATATTATCAAACATTAGTCGATAAAATATTAATAATAATAAATTGTTTATAACAACTCATCGGATACATTTATTTATGTTTATATTTACAAATTATTTGACATCAATTGAAGAAATATTAAACGGAAAAGTTTTGTTTAAAAAAATTGTTTATAACAAATTCTTAATTGTTATAAACAATTTGATAAAAAGATGTATGGAAACGTACGATTTAATATGATGTTTGTTTCATGTATCTACGACTATTAGTTTCGGAGATATTTCAATTTAAAAAATCTGACACAGTGACCTATATAAATTCTTGGAATTTACGCAAGCCTGTCCAGTCAGCTGATCAACGTAAACACTTTTTCTACTACGAGCACGTGTGTAGTACTACTATCAAAGAATTATGAATGGTAATCGTATGAAGTTAATATCTTTGGAACGAAAAGTCGTGGAAACATGAAACCAAGATCATTTTAAAGGAAAAATCATCCTCTTTTTAATTATGCATTTCGATACTATCGATATAATAGAATCGATTTCATCGATTTATATCATATACATACGTATGAATGAATATCAATGAATGAAAATTAAATTAATTACTGTAATATTAATGATTAATAATATACATAGAAATTGTTCGATATTATATCACATGTTTAAATGTGATAAATATAAAATTAATTAGAGAAACCTTTTTCATAAAAATAAAATAAGACAAAAGAATATAAACCCTACTACTAATTCCTTCATTAAAGTCGGGAAAGAGAAAGTTATTACGTAGGGAAATATCAGGCGCAAATTTTCTCTTGTTGCCATCGTAGACGTGAAGTAAATACATAGGGACATACACATACATACAAGGTCGAATAAGAGAAGAGAAATAGGAAGAGAAGATAAGATGAGAGGGAAGAGAATTTCGAAGACGCGAATTCATTCGTCTCGAGGTCCCTTTTCCCTTCTAGTCGTCTTCTTCTTACCTCACCCTTCCTTCTATCCTTCTTCTCAAACCATCCCACCCAACACTACCCCTTACCTACCCCATCCTCTTTTACTCACCCACTCTTACTCTTGCATTTAATCAACGCCTCTGCTAATAGACAAACTCGATGCGGAGAATGGCTCTTGATAGCGTGAGCGTAGTCTGTATAGGGTTGGAAAGTGAAAGAGAGAAAGAGAAAGAGAGAGAGAGAAGGGGGTTAAAAGGGGGCCCGTCCTCAAATTAAACGACGAAACAAATGGCTAATCATGCATCCCGTGGGGGAAGAGGAGGGGAATGGTACGAAAGATACAAAGTAGAGCCGGCACCATCCAGCAGCTTTCACTCGACGATTCGAGGCTGTTGGGTCGAGAAGAGGTCGAGTAGTAGCAGCAGTGGCACGCTTCTCGCTCACGGGATAAAACAAAGATAGAAAGATAGAAAGAGAGAGAGAGAGAGAGAGAGAGAGAGAGAGAGAGAGAAGAGATGGAAGAAGAGTACCCTCTTGAGAAATATAAGGCAACTACTTTCACGCTAGTATTTCCAACAACCACCATCACCTGAGCAATGCTCGACATCCCTTGCTTGCTACTATTTCGCGCGTACGAGAGAGAAAAAGAGAATGAGTGAGAGAGAGAAAGTACAATATGTTTCGTTAAATCAGAGTAAGCTCGACGTTAATTAATTGAAGTGTAGTAAGTATAGATATGTGTTAGTTGTTACTTGAATTATATTTTAAATAAGATTCCTTACTCAAATATTGAATAAATTTATTTTAAATACATTTCAAATATTCATATATATATATATATATATATATATATATTAATTCATGTATTAATTAAAATAATGGTCTCTAGCATAATTTATAGAAGTAAATTTAGTACACAAATAAGAAACAAAACAAATACTTGAAAACAATTAAATTAGGGAACAAAAGAGATGGTAAAACGTTTATTTATACGAGGGTTATTTAAAACTGAGTGTTATTTCGTTACCATCTATAGTCTGTTTCTCTTTCACGTTCGATAGTTGTCTCGAAGGTTTCCATCCCCCTTTTCAGCATAAGTAACGTCTTTCACCTCCCTTTTTCTCGTAACTATCGATGGTCTAAAGGGTCTTTTCACCACGTGCTGCTGCTACTGCTTCTGCTACTATTTCGAAGAGGCTGTCGCGAGTTGTTCACGAGGAAGAAGCAACCTACCAACGGTCTTGGAAAATGGAAAGACTGAAGGGAGAAAGGTAAGAAGGGTGATAGTCGTAGTGGTGCAGCGAAGGGAAAGGGGAAAAGCTTCCCAACACGTGAAGGGCTTTACGCCGCGATCGTTTAAGCCCCGAAAACGTGTCCCTCGAAATACGAAAGGCTTTTGCTACTTCAAAGTACTCCTTCTTCGCTTTTCCGGCCTTGTCTACTTATTCTCTCTCTCTCTCTCTCTTTCTCTATTTCACTCTATCTTTCTTTCTTTCTCTTTCAAGGTTCACTTCGAGTAAACTCACCCCAAACTTGGGAGCTTTTTAGACGATGTTCGCGATCTTATTTTATATATATATATATATCTCTCTTTCTCTCTTTCCATCTTCTCCCTTTCTCTTTCAAGCCTGTCAAAACTCCGTTCTAAGTCTAATGGAAATTTCATTGTCGCGAATGCACCTCGTAATTGTAGGCTCTCCCGTCTCTAACTTGCGTCCTTTGTGTCAATATTAGAAGGAACAACGACGAACCAAGGGGGAGGGAGGGAGGGAGGGAGGGTGGCGGGATAAAAGGGTTTTGACGCTTTTGCCCTTTCCTTTTCTCTTTCTCTTACTATCTTTCTTAGGATTATTCTTAGTTGACAGAAAGGGAGTGTACTTTATTCGCAATAACTATTATGGTTAAACGAGTTGCACAATGCACTTTTGAACATTTTCCGATAACAATTATTGTCTATTCTTACTTTGTTCGCATATTTCGATAATCGATCTTTTTGATATTAAATTTTTATTTAATAATCTAGTATCTTTAAGATAATTCGTTGAAAAATGTGTTTCATAATAATATAAATAAAATAAAATAAAAATTTGATGAAGGATCATTCTCTAACGTTTCTATTTTTATTTCTTATTTTTCTTTTTTTAAATATAAATATGAATATATATAAAATAAGGTTTTAAGGTTTTAAGGTTTAGAAATAAAAATAAAAAAAAGATAATGTATTGGTGTACTCACTGTCAAGCCATTTAGAGTCATATTTTAGGGTCCTCTTGAAGCTGAAGGCTTTTCGACCGGTCGTCAAATTGTAAAGATCCGTACGAAAGATGACGGTATCGGCTTTAGTGAATTCGGCATTTGTGCCGGAATAAAGAGCCGGCAATTCACCGGGATTGCCCTTTTCTACCCAAACTGCCGTTGAATTGTCAGCAGGATCGTAAGGGCACTTTGCTATACCCATCCCAACACCGGGAACGAACTCGTGTCGTGGTAAATGCGTTAGATTGCTCTGTGAAAACGAAAACGGAAATTGAATTCTATGGGTATGGTGGTAGTGGTATTAACAACATAGATATAGAAAGCATATTATAATATTCTATTAGCTATTTTGCAAATTGTATATATATATATGCATTGGGTGTAATATACTGCTTAATGAATGTAAATTGGAACAGGCGTAATGCGAGGATGCACACAATCATTGTATGCAACCCAATGGAAACTGACATTTCTATTATTACGTTAATTAATTGTTATGTTTAGAAAATCAAATATTTTATGTCTTTGGTATTATCTATTTTTTGTTTGTTTTTAATTTTATTTTTGTCAATTGAAAAAAATTTCTCAATATTTAAATATAATATTGTAATATGAAAATTTATATATTTTATTATGAACAAAAATTCAATATAAATAAGAAGCAAATTATAAGGGATATTATATATAGATATATGTTAGTAACTATACTCACATAAATAACCCAATCCTTTGGTGAATGTGCATTCGTGCCACACATATAAAGTCGATTGCCATCTCCCATAGGTTGTATCACTCTTATATGGTTACGACAGTCGAAATGCTGTAAAGTAGAGGACAAGAAGGAAATTGAATTTTTCGTTCAATGACAGAACTGACGACGACAACGAAGACCTCACCACGGAAAAAGGGACTTCAATATGTTGCTGATTCTCGCCTTTTCTTTTCTATTTTTTTTTTCTTTTTTTCTTTTTTTCTTTTTATTACGAGATGAGAACTTTTTGAAAAACATTTTACACGAAGATAAAAAGAGAAAGAAATAAAATAGAAATGAGGAGAAAAATCTGTAAAAAGCTTTCTTAGATTCTTTTTACGTTTATTCAAAGATTTATATTTATATATATATATATATTTTTTTTTCTTTCTTTCTCTTTTACGTAGGATCCACGAGGTTCGATCACGTCGGTCGCGTATTTTGCAGCCAATCGGTACCAGAAAATAAATTGGCTTTGTCGTCACGTAGAGAATATTTGCGTGGACCTTACACCTCGACTATGCATACACGATGAATATAAATGAAGCTCACAGTTAAACGTCCGCCTTCAATGTTATAAAAGAGAAATAGAGAAAAAGAGAGAATCAGTAGAGAGAAGTGCACCCACCACCATCATCTACCTTTCTGTGTGATATGCGAACGATTTAGGAATGAAAAACACGATCGACCAGGAAAAATCTTTCTTACCTTCCTTTCTATCCTTGAATATTTCTCTCTCTCTCTCTCTCTTTCTCTTTCTCTTCTACTTTTCTTTTTTTTTTTAAATTTAAATATACTTGAAATGAAACGAACGCGACAATGTTATAAAAATTATGAATGCTATGTGCCGTGGGTACCGCGGTTAAATTTATTCTCACTTTATATTTTGTCATTTCATTAAATATATATATATATATACGTTTAATATATTAGATATTTTATAATAAGTTGAATAATATTTCATTTAAATGTGTCATACGAAAGGTTAATATTATATTTATTAAAATTTAGTTAGATTTTATATTCTATTATTCGTGTAAAAGGTTCACGAATAAATTTAGGATAATTAAACATAATTATGATGAATATATATGTATATATTCATTCGATTATACTTACTTCAGATTTTCCCTTTGACACACAATTAGCAACATTACTTGGTTCTAAATTGAGGGCATCTCTCTGTAACAAAAAAAATGTAACGAACAAAATTAAATTAATTATACACATTCGTAGTTATAAAAATATAATATAAAATTGTTTTTAATTTTTTAATATTTTTTTTACATTTCTATTATTCATTATCTTACACAAATGATACATCATATATATATATATACATGTGTGAGAAGTTCACCTCGTTATTCGTTTCATCTTTCACTGAGCTAACAACACAACAGTAGTAGTTTTTCCAAAGGGTACTTTTTTTTATTTTCCTTTTCTCAACCACTCAAAAAAGCTCAACCTTACAACTTCGAAGAGGTGACAAGAAGAACGAGTAGTGCATTCTTCACATTTTGCAGGCGCGAACAAGTGGAATGCTCTCATGTTGTAGATAACTACCATCTCCGAGTTACATATCTCGGAATATGTGAATTATAGTGGAATAAGGTCAAACGTTCAACCTTCCATAAAAAAAAAAGGAAAAAAAAATAAACAAATTTCTATATAAAATACATTTCACTTGTTAATAATTACACAATTAATTAATTAATTAATTTGTCATATTTATGATAATAATTTGCAAATAAAACAATTATAAATTTGAATGACAAGAAAAACATAGAATAGAAACAATGTTGCATCACCAGTACTACTACTACTACAACCAAACCTATCATGAACGACCAACTACCAACACCAATTCGGACACCTTCTTCCTGACACACAAAGCATTTCGTGTTGGGTACAGGGTCGCGGATACGATTCGGAACAGGAAGTGGTTCGTTTGCACGGTCAATCGTCCGAAACGCGTTAGCCTTAACGATCGATCTCCTGCGGACGTCGCGTGCCACTCCCGTGCACTCTGTCACGAGCAGAAACGCCGACGATCCTTGAAATTGTACCCCCTTGTACCCTCAATACTCCCCCCTTCCCACTGTGCACCAAGCTCTCGGCTTCCTTCATTCAACGACCAAAAGACTCGACCCAAAAACGACCAAAAGACGAAGAGAGACTCTGGAAAACCAAGTTGACCGTTGACTTTGACGTATACATCCCTTTTTTTCCTAGGGGTAGTTTCTTTTCTTTTTTTTCCTATTGGAGATAGGAGTGTGTGACGTAGTCGTTCAGTTTGATAAATTAAAGTGCATTTGTAGAATGCTTGACACACAATTATGGTACTACGAGTAATACTAGACAGGGTTACAAATAATTATAGGAATATAAATTATTTATTTATAAATTGATAGATTAGTTATTGATTAAATTAACAAAATTGAAATATATTTATAAATATTTAATCATTGTCGTTAAAATCAATGCAATAATATTAAATGTGCAATTTTTATTATCTATCATATTAAATTATTATTCGAATTTATTTGTTGATGAATACGAAAGACACACGCTTACTTCATATATATATACCTTAATTATATAAAATAATATAGACTTTTTTATATATATCAATAATAATTTATTTTTCAGTAACGTATAGCTTTTTAGCCGAACCTTGGTGCGAAACGCTACGCCGGGCACGTTAATAATAACTGTCGCAAGGGATTTCGACGAGTCTCGTAGTTAAGATAATCTTCTTAAGGAAACTACGTACTCGGTGACTACAATTACTCTTGAAATACCACCACTACTACTACCACTACCACCACACATAGAGTAACGAGTCGAACGGAGCTTTCGTTACCGAGAAACGTGCAATATAACGTCAAGTAAAAGAAGGAAGAAGGGAAAGAGGGAAGAAGAATCCTCTCACCTTCCCCTCCTCCACCCTCTTCCACCCCTTTACCATCTCTTTCTCACTCTAGAATCTTCCTAAACCATTTCAATGTTGCAAAACGACTAGACGAAGTAGTAGGGAGCATTATAGTTACACCTTACGTTTCTACCAATCGAATCTACTACCCCCCCCCTCCCTCACACCTTTCTCTTCCCTACCTTACCCCCACCTCATCTCCTTTCTACCATCTATCTATATACGTTTATTTCCATGGAACTCAGAGTAATAGGACTTAACGAAATTAGTTCCTTTGAACTATCTCAACCTTGTTTCGAGTCTTCCAGTTTACATCTTAAATATTCACTCCCTTATATAGACTACCTTTTACCAATTTCTGAACTTCATATATTAAATAGTAAACTAATCAAACAGAAAAAATAAAAAGAAACAAGAAAAATAATCTCGTGATTTTATCTCATGAACTTGGTTCATAGTTAAACTCATGTAAGTTTAAATAGAACAACCTAATTGGATAGAATTGAACATATGTATGAGCACGTGTGTGCACATGATAGGTACGCATTATGCGTTAAGTACAACATGTAGGTACATTAAGGGCCTGTCGATACTATTTGTCTCACCTATTTTCTTGTACAGGTAGAAAAGCCGGTAATTAAAAGCTGAGAGTCATCTCAACACGCATTACCCCATAAGCCTTCTCTCTCTATCTCTCTCTGTTTCTCTCGTTTCATGTGGCTCGTTATACTAATCATTGCCTATCCACTCGTGAGTCAGAGATGGAGATAGTTTCGAATATGGGGGATGATGATGGCGAGTATAGGATCACCCGAGAAGGGATGTAAACGGTAGAAATGGGTTTAGCATGCGTTGCCTGGGATGGAAAACCAGATGCTTGCTTTTCCATCTAACGACTTTAGCTTATATAACGATGCAGTTACATCGGGGATGCAGCAGTTACATAGGTTCAACCATAAACGTAACATCGTAACATCGTCCTCCTACCCAAAATAGAAGAAAACTCGTAACACGACAATCTACGGTGCTTACTTTAAGATTATTTCTAATGCAATCACCTATATATATATATAAAATAAGTTTTATATTAAATCTAAGATAAATGATAGTCAAGATTAAATTAAATTATTATTTAATTTAAAATGCAAACGCACACACACTAAGAGTAAGATTTTGGTACTGGTACTTAGAAAGATGATTTGAGCTTTGATAAAATAGAAAAAAAAAATAGATAAATTTGAGTAATACAAGCAAAAATAAAATCAACCAACGTCATCTGATTTCTGGTTACGTACAAAGATCTACAAAGACTTACGAAAATGGTGGAGTACGAGAGACGACAGAAATAGGGGGCTGGGGGGTGAGTGGGTGGTTGGTTGGAAAGGAGAAGGCGAATCCGCGGAAACTGAATTCCCTGAGAATTTAGGATAGGGCACCCAACCTAGGGTGTGCAAGGACGGGAAGATATTTCTGTTTAATAGTCGACGTACCGTGCCGGTAATGGAAGTCGAGGCGTTTGCATGCCGGGAGGCACGCCGGGGCCGTAAAGTTAATGGCGTCGTAGGCGACACGATAAAATGATGCACCAAGTTTCACCGACAATATTATTGCTGCTACCTGCTTGGTGGTGTCTTACAATCCCATTCTATCTATCTGTTCATTTTTTTTTTTTTTTTATTACTTCATTTCTTAATCCAACACGTAGGTACGTAAGAGAAAAATTCATGGTTGTATGAGTTGAATGATTTTTTGATTGATTTGTTTGAAATAAAATGAATATGAAAAAATAGTTGGCAATTAGTTGCCAACCCAATAGTAGTAGTAACATTTTGTTAAAGAAAATCTGTGACTCCATCTCGTAGATCTGTTAGGTGAAGTTGAATGGGTTGGGTTGGGAGGATAAGAGAAGATAGAAGAGGATAGTGCAAGAAAGGCAGCCTGATTACGGTTTGAGCAAGCGTCGTCGTTGGCATCAGTGCCATCCTCTCTCTCTCTCTCTCTCTTTCCCTCTCTCTGGCAGTAGGAAGAGCACCAAGCAAGCGTCCACGTGTAATCACTACTCCAACAAGCACCGTGTCCCACTTCAGATGCTTTATGTTCCTTACTCTCTAGATCAGTTGAGTTTCTCTCTATCTATCTTACTCATTCTCTCTCTCTCTCTCTCATTCTCTGTCTCTTTACTTCGTCGGTCTCCATTCGCCCTATTCAAGGGGTTGCAATGCAGTAAGACGGGTAGAGGGTGGCTTTAGACTTTCGGCATCCGGGCCGGGTTGATTAAGCTTCTGGTGAAGGTGATGATGTTGCGAGTAGAGAAAAAGAAAGAGAACTTCAGAGGTTGTCATCTCGTCATTAGTTTCTAACAAATTTGTTCGTTCGTTCTTTTATCTTGACATTATTTCAATTTTTTTTTTTTTTGACAGGATTCTGTCAGTATGTTTAATAATCATCAGAATTTGAGAAAACCACCTTACAACAATTTCCTTACTTGTTTTTCTATTCACATGCAGAATCATTGGCTTTCTGATTGTTCAATTTTGCAATGATAAACTTGAAATGTTTCAATAATGTCATTTTTGGAACTCTGATTCTTTTTTTTTTTCTTGTGAGGCAACAAAAATCAATTGTCGGATGGGGAAAAAAGACAAAGGGAAAAGATTTTAGAAGTTTAAAAAGAATATAAGTGACGGTCATGTGTATATATATATATATACATATATGTGTAGTATATATGTTCTATATATATATATATATATATATATATATATATATATATATATATATATATGGTGCTTGTACAATTTACAGTGTTAAAATATTGAAGAAGGAAAAAGTAAGGTCATCCCAAGGGTATCGACACCCCCTAACCACCGGCAGTCGAGAACTCTAACGGTAGATGTGAGATGCCTTTGAAATATTCACGAATCAGAAAGGGCGCCCATTGCGGTTCTTTTTATCTCATGAAATAGTTAAGCTTGAAAAAGAGAAAGAGAGAGTTAGAGAGAGAGAGAGAGAGAGAGAGAGAGAGAGAAAGGTATTCGCAAAACGATAGGCAGACCACTGCTATTGGGTTTGGTTTGGCTTTTGTTCATTCTCTCGTCGTTATATTTATTTCCTTATTCATTTTATTCTAAACGATTCGTTTTTAAAATGAATAAAAGAATATTTAATGAAATATACTACGGAAAATCTTTATTCATCTGATATAGATAATAATTATTGATTTACAATAATAATAATAACAATAATAATG